ATCAGGAAAGTTTGTGCGTGCATGTATTATGCGTTCCGTCAAAGGGCTGGAAATGGCCAAAGAGGCATCATGAAAGGATTCTGTGAAGGAATTATCCAACCAGCAAGCAACCTTTCACATCCTTGGTGCTCTACTGAAAGGTTAACTGAAAATGTTAACATAGAAAATCACTCTGGATAACTCACATGAACATGTCTGAAAACATCGTTGACAGAAAGGATAATATGATCAGGATAAATTGGATCCTAGCTTATTTGCCAACACCATATGGGAATCGGGGCAGATCTTGATCATTTAAAAAAGTCTTTGTTAGCTGCATTTTCAAGCTGCTTAACGTCTATGGTCATGGCAGCTGAAGTAGTGGGGGCAGGACAAAGATCAGAGGAAATAACTATGTACAGTATTGTTCACTTATCCATACCTATCTAGAACACGAAGAGATATTTGTTCAGAGAACAGAATTATATATCATTAATAGTTAAAACTACACTTATCTTTAATCAGAAGTTAACACCCAATTTGACATCATTGGTTCTTAAGCCCACAACATTCTTTAAATAAAATAGTTTACTTTTGTGTGTGTAATTTCCCATACTAAATAATAATCTTATGCATTGGTGCTCAGGAGTAGGTCTCATTGTTTATTCCCAGAAAGTGTGTTTAGGATTACAGCATTAGCCTATTCATTCCACAGCTAAACAGACAAAACTCCTTTAAACTTTCTATTCCTATGATCATTTTAGAGTGACCCGAATTAGACAAAGTATTCCAGATAGTGGCCTTACTACTGCCTTTTACAGGATACCACAGTTCATGGTTTTGTAAGTAAAGCATATTTATAGGATTGAACAGTCAGAAACTCAGAAAACACCATCATTTTTAAAATGCTGATTTCCCTTGAGAGCTGTCTTGTATAGAAAGAGCATATACGATTTTTTTTTTACTTAGTGTCTGTTCAAAAATTGCTTCTTCAAATTATTTGACAGAATGATTCCTCTTGTCAATGCCTTCTTCATGTGTGCCCATCTTGACATAAGCTGTGTCCATATTTGATGAGGTTACAGATACACACTTTGAGAAACAAATCCCACCGTTTTTCATCAAATGTTCAGTAACACTGCCAAAACTTTCTCTTTGATATTCCTCACTTGGTTGTCATATTCCTAACAATTTCATTGCTTGGAAGAAGTGCCAATCGGAGGGACGGGGGACTGAAGAGAAGTGTAGGGAAAAGAAAAAGGTAGAGGACCTTTAAAGAGATTCAGGAATATAGCTTCAAAGCTTAATTGATTAATTAGATTAATTGATTAACCATCCTTTGATCAATTAAACAGATATCCCAGATAACCAGGCAGCAAATTTTTAACATATAAACATACTGCGGGTGGGGGGTCTAGACTTAAGCCATACTTAGAGCAGATCCACTAGATGATTTACAGCACAATTCTAACCGTGCCTACTCTCTTGCACTCAGTGGGGCTTATTGCCAGGTAAGTGGGGTTAGGACTCTAGTGTAAGTCTAGAGTCAATCCAGTATTTATAAAGACTGGTCATTTTTCTCACAAAGGATAGAATGCTTCTTCTAAGATGATGCTTGCTGCAACACATGGATGCATAATCTAAAAACAAATGCTTTCTTTACTTCAGTACTCATATAAAAATTGTGGAAATTAAATAAATTACTTGATTTATTGAATCAACCATGAGTTCTTTAATCAGGTGACTGCCCAGTTAGAGACATTATCTTTGTCCAGATATACATGTGGATCTTCAGATGCTATATAAAGATGCTTTAGCGTATGGGTTGTAAGAATATACAAATGCTATCGTGATGCAATAAAACCATGAGCAAGCTTCAATAATGTAGCAGTCTAGCATCAGGAAGATACATAACCATCAAATGAAGGTGGTTATGGCCCTTAAAGACTTGTGGGGTGGTTGAAATATCCAAGTCCAAATCATAGTTTCTTTCCCTGTGTTATGATGCCCTGCCTAATGACAGATAAACCTGGTGCCCTCCAGATGTTGACTACAGTTCCCATCATGGTCAATGGTCAACTGATGGAAACTGTAGTCCAAAACAGCTGGAGTGCACCAGCTTGGGAAAGGCAAGTCAAAGTCTCAATTCTTTGGCACAAAACTGGATTTCTAGGTGAGGAGTCTGCAAAAAATTAGAGAGAAAGATTGTGTGAGTGCAGTGAACTATGGAGATTGCAGAAGAATGTGATGTTACCAACATCCCTTTCTGTTGCTGTCACAGAAAACACTACTGCATAGCTAATATACCATAGGAAAAGGCCTTAGAGAGAAAACTACACATTAAACATTACAACATGTACTTGCTTTTTGATGTTAATGAATAAATGTATACAAGCAGTTGTCTAGTTGTTTTTCCAGCAGAATCGTTCTTTGACTTTCATACTATCTGGACTCACTTTAGGATCTGAATGTTATTTTTCCTACAACGCATATAGTTATTTATGCATCATCTTCCAATTCAGTCATTTCTATATTTGCAGTGGCAAATGGCAGAAATTTTAAAGGTTGCTGGCTGGCTGGAGTTCTAGGACACAATCCAAATAACTAGCACTGCATGCCCTGTGAGGCTTTGCATTTGTGCTTCTCAAACAGCTACTCGCCGCACCACTTGGGAAATTTCTTTGCCAACTCAGTAGAGTTTCAGCAGCAGTTTATGATCTGGCATGAGGATTGGCTGTTCAAAGAAAAAGCCCATATGGGTGCATGATGAAAGTAGGTCTCTGGATTGTGGCCCTTCTCTCCTACTAACTCTCTATTTCTACCCACTGTGGTGGCTTTTCTTCACAGCCCCCTGCTATTCCTGAGCATCGTACGTGCTGTTTTAGTTTTGCAATTATTCTTGCCAGAGTCTTGTTTTACAGGATTGAACATCTGTGATCTTCCCATTTGGTGGCATTCCCCCTCCCACCCCCCTCTCCTTTTGAAGAAAGAGTCCAGAGCTAATCACCTTGCTGTGGTCATTTGCTGCTTCCATCCAAAATGTACTTCATTTGTCTCACATGGCTCCTTGAACGTCTCTTCTGATTTGTAAAATGTCAGGATGTGCGATAGGTTGCAAGCATGAATGTTTGCCTTTCCTTTTTAAATGACATTTTGTTTTAGTGTTCCTGGCAAATGTGATTGCTATTGCACAGAGCATTGACAATAAAGAAAACTAAGTAGCAATCAGAACTCCTCTGAAATAAGAAAAGGAACACAGTTAAACACCGCAAATAGGAAGGGGGAAGAAAGACCAGCAAATTTTCAATTCTGGTCCTTTATTAATCAAAATGCTGGTGTGTGAGAGAGAGGGAGAGAGAGAAAGAAAGCAGCAGTGGACAGTGAGTGAGGTGGTGGTACTCATCTGACCTCCTGACAGCTGAGTCGCTGCTGCTTACAGGGAAAGAGAGGGAGAGAGGAAAGGTTGGTGCAGTGCAAACACACTGGCTGCATCACTGGATTGGATCTGCTAGTACATTTGCACTATGCCCATTTCCCCGCTGCCTCACTCTTAACTCAGGCCTGTGCTTTCTCCACTTCAGCCACATCCCATTCCCATGGCCACCTTAGCAGTAGATGTATAGATCCTACCTGCCTAGCTCTGCCATGAGTTGTGTTTTTGGAAATGGACTCTGCTTCTTTGATGTTGGAAAGTAGAGTTGAAGGATGGGTGTACTCGGTGCTTTTTTCTAAAAACATATATGTTTAGGGATACTCTCATTTTGACTCAAGAACATCACCGTTTTATAGTTCAAATCGGGGAAAAGAAATACAGTAAATGGACAAAAGTACAAAGATTCACAAAATGTTTAGGGGTGTGTATACTCCTGTGTCCCCCCAGAAAAAAGCACTGGGTGTACTAGCTGCTAATGTGGCAACTGTTCTGAAAACAGGGATTATCACTTATAATAGCTGCCATTCACTCTGTACTGGATATTAATTTTGTACCGGATTCGTCACTTGGGGGGATATCTCTCCTCAAATTCAGTAGATTGCATCTCATCTCCCTCAGCTTTCTTATGGTGTTGCTCCCCTTGTACTGGTAAAGCCATTCAGGAGCAGTAAAATGGAGAAGACATACAGTGGTGCCCCGCAAGACGAATGCCTTGCAAGACAAAAAACTCGCTAGACAAAAGGGTTCTGGAGTTTTTGAGCTGCTTCGCAAGACGAATTTCCCTATGGGCTTGCTTCGCAAGACAAAAACGTCTTGCAAGTTTGTTTCCTTTTTCTTAACACTGTTAATACAGTTGCAACTTGTCTTCGAGGAGCAACTCATAGAATGTGGTGTGATAGCCTTTTTTGAGGTTTTTGAAGACTTTGGTGATTTTTGAAGCTTTTCCAAAACTTTTCCGACACCGTGCTTCGCAAGACGAAAAATTTGCTAGACGAAAAAACTCACGGAACGAATTTATTTCGTCTTGCGAGGCACCACTGTATTAGATATTCCTATAATAAAGAGATAGAGTCTCATTACCTGACATTTCATTGCAATGGCTCTTCACTTGAGTGGTGTAGCTCACCACATGGGGGTAATATAGAGCAGGTGTGGGGATGTTGGGCAAAACAACTTTTTAGGAGCACCCTCTACCTATTGGTCAGAAAGAGTAACACCTTGGGATATTTCAACCTGGCTCCACCTCAACAGTTCAGCAGTTGAAATTATAGCTAGGATGAGCCAAATACACTTCATCACCCTAGCTTCTCAGTCATTGCTGGGGTTGGGAAGGAATATTTGCATTTCTCATTGAATGGCCTGAGTGTGGGATGTTTTTCCCCAGGGCATGGGGCTAGGGAGGGGCACCTTTCAGTTGACTGAATTCAGCTAATTTCCTTTGTCTCAAGTTGACCGGTGGGTCAGTGATGGAAGAGGAGCCAATTAAGTGATAAGAGAAGGGTTACACCATTATGAGAGACGATAGGTGTTTAAGGACAGCTGGCAGAGACTCTTTGGTGTTTCAGACTGGAGCCTGCCCCGCTCCACCAGAAGATGCCATCGATTGAACCCAGGACTGCCTGCATACAAAGCAGTTGCTCTGTCACTGAGCTACAACTCTTTCCCTACCACATTCCAATTTTTTGCACTCTACATTCAAAAAATCAGGCATCTGGGAGCAGTAGTAAGACAAATGTGAAGGAAATCTATCTCTTCCTGTGCACTTAACTAGACAAATATTTGAACAGTAGCAAACATAAGGTGGTTCAACATATTGCCGACTTCTTGAGAGAGTGCTCACATTGTAAAAAACTATTTTAATTATGGGTCTTTATATTTTAGCAGCATTGTTTTATTGTATGTTTTAATTATGACGGTTTATATTTTAAAGTTTTCTATACTTTGGAAACTGCTTAGAAGCCGAATTTGGCATTAAGCAGTATGTGAATGATAAGGTGTTGAGGATGATTATGATGATGATAGAGTGTGGTGAATCAGGCATGACAGTTTCTAAGGGACCAGGCTGTATTAACAAACAAAATCTGAAAGAAGAGTTTCAGTCTTAATTTTAACCCATTCCTCTCCACTGGGAATCTACAAGCCAACCACACATATCTTGGGTGAGGAGGAATTGTGTTTCAAGCAAAAGAAGTATCTCTGTGCTTGCTGTAAGCCCTGGCATCTTTCATTTTACAAATCATATTGTATATGAGGGAAGATAGAGAACTCGCAGTCCTTTATGAGGCTATTGCCTTTCTGTGGAAGAAGATAAAGAACTCATAGTGTGATAAAAGAAGACAGATGACCAGCAAAAAGCAGATTCCTAGACCACATGAAGAGATGGAAGAACAATTTACTACACAATTAAACCTGAAGAAGGGAAGTCCAAAGTCTTGTCACATGCTTCATGTCAGAGCTAAAGACCATGTCTCTCGATCAAAAGTGAGATCAGTTATTGGTAAGACTAAGATATAGCTGAGGTTGTTTTTTTTAAAAAAAAGTAGATATGTTATCGGGTTCAGCTAAAAAAAAGCGCAAGATCAACCTACTCTTCTTTTCTGCCAGGTCCCTGATTTTGCACTGAAATATTTTCATGTTCTTTCTCAAACAGTTACATCCTGTCAGAGAACTTGGTAATTGAAAGGGTCACAAAGGTTTCATTTTGTTCAAATACTGAAAGGATTTGGGCCTAGAAGTCGCCAAGGCCTTTTTGAAAGCTAATGGAACTCGTGGGTGTTCACTGTCTTTCAGATTGGGACTACAATTTTTTAGTTCCTGGAGCTTTCAGTGCAGCTGAAATGAGAATTCAAAATAAATAATTTCAGATATAAAGTTAATAAGATAAAGTTAATCCATTCTCATCACAATTTGCTATTGCTGTTTTGCTGTGTGTGATCAGGATGACTGAATATGTTAAAAAGTAAAGTATAAATCCCTTAAAATCAATCAGTAACTGGAGCTTTAGGCTGTAATCTTATACAAATTTACCAGATGTAAACCCATGGAATTGAATGGGAATAGGTATGCACTGTTACTAATTTAGCATTTGATATTTTGCTATACAATGCCTCCATGTTTGCAAATGGCTATCTTATCAGTGATTTGTTAGTTTGTGTGCCATGATATAAGTAATTAAGTGCCAAAATACTTAAATACAGTAAGCATAAATGGTAATCCTAAAGACTGGAACTAGGGGGTAAATTCTATTGAACTCAATGGAGCCACTTCTAAGTAAACATGATTGGGATTGCACTGTGTTGGTTATCAATTAGTGAAGAGACCCCATGATAATGATCTGAAGAAATCAAATAAATTGAATATTAAATAAAAGTGTTTATTTATTTATAAACAAATATCCAACTACCAGTAATAAAGTTTCAGCTCATATTACCAATTAAGTGGTCTTTAATCAAAATGCAGGATAGGGTTTAATTCTTAATCTGATTTCTTTAAACCAAACCATCTTCCCTTTGCTGAAAAAAATGCCCCACCAAATTCTTACTTTCTTCCTGAGCCTTAGTAATTCACCCTAGAATCTTGTCTTTGCATTTTGAAACATGGAAGACAGAAAACAACTTAGAAAGAGACCGCTCTCTAACGTCAATTCAATTTTTTATTTAATGTTCAGAAAACCACTGATCCATTTGTTGGATGCATAAATTCTCTAAGGCCGCCTGCCTGGTGAAAAACATACTGGGAGTCTGGAGCAAGGATACCCATAATTACACCGTCAAAAAAGATTGCAGTAAGTGGCAGAATATTTTATTTGCCGTCAGTCCTATGAAAGTATATTGCGACAACAGCTTCAAAAGATTCAAAATCGCAAGAGGGGCCCTTATTTGAAATCAGCAGAAACCATTTTGCAGCAGGCTTGCGTGAATAGGTCATAGATTAGCAGTAAATTCCATTCCTATTTTTAATGAAGTGGCAGAAGGAGCTGGGTTTCTGTGGTTTGGTAGAACATTTAGGCTCTCCCTGAAGCAATGTTTTAACTTGTGCATTGACTGAAATGCACTGTCATCCTCATAAATTAATTTCACCAGGGGTTGAAAGAGTGTGTGTGTGTGTGTGTGTGTGTGTGTACGCACACACAGTGTCATAGGCCAGCATAAACAGGTGTGACTTCTGCACTTCAGGTTTCCCTGAACCGGTATCCCTCACTGGCTCACGTGCTACTATCCAGAAAATAATGGAAGCTAAATCGTGTCCTCCCTAAAAGAGGGCACGTTTTGCGGTGAGACTTGGAGACTGACCTCCTGGTTGTGGGTGGGTCTATTGGATAGACACAACACCCGATTGGTAGGTCCCTCGTTGCTGAGTGTAATCTGGCCAATGGGGTGCAGTCTAAATGGTTTGAGGGACCTATTTAATCCCTTGCACGTGACCCAGAGATTCTCATGCAAACGGAACACCCGCCCACATTGACCTTGCCATGCCATTGTGTGTCATCTGTCATCAGGACAGGGGCACAGCAGGAATTTTCCCCACTTGGCTGATAGGCTGTTGCCATTTGGGTTTTGCCTGCCGCATAGCAAATTGTCATAACTTGTAAGGTTGTGGATAGGCACTGGTTCAGGTGATAGGAATGGGAGAACGGTTTCACCATCCCTATGTGAAGAGTATTCCGTTAAAGGAATCCAGGGACTCAACTTGGTTTGGTCAACCCCCAAGAGGGGGTTGTGCTTGTGCCATGGACTGTAACATGCTGTGTTAGATGCTGTATGATTTTTAATTGCCTGTTTATTGCTTATTTTACTTCTTACATTCCATCTCATTGCATTACAATTCCATAAAATACAATATAAAATACAATAATAAATCATATTAAGAACCTAAGAAGCAAAAGAAGCAATAAAGAGAGAACTAAAGATCAGAATGAATGTTCTTGCCACCTGCAGTTGCTGCTCCTGCTGTTCTTCACAGACCACCCAAGTGAAGCTTGCAGGCTGCTAGTGACCTTAGTTTAGGTTAAGGATACAGAGTTCTGATGTGCACACAGTGTTTTCCACTGGGTTCTGCACGTCTTTTGGAACAGACCCTTACAATGAAGTGAATTGTGCAGTCAGTACTTGCATGGAAGTCTGTAAGGAGCCCATATATAATCACATATCATAAAAAAAAAATCTTGAGTATTTCAGATGGCCTTCTTCAGATTCTAGTCAGTTGCATTGGTTGTTCCTTTGTCTCAAAGGAAGAGGTGAGGTCAACATTCTTGGTCCACTTCTTCACACAACATCTGCTCATTCATGTTCCGAAAGTGATCTGTGAAACAAGAAAGTCTGCTTGTCAGCCTCCTTTCAAGATTTGATGAAAATAGGCACATCACAGGCTGGGTTAGTACAACAGTCACTTCTGATTTGTTTCTGTGTGTGTCAGGTTAGCATCATATCCCCTTCATGCACCTTTTTTATAGCTTTAATCAAAATGGGAAATTCTGCCATTTTTACTGGCTGAAGAGCGTTGTTTTTGCAGTGTAAGGCAGGAAATTTTAAAAAATGAAAAGCATTACTTGTGCTCATTGATTGTGATGACTAAGAGGGGACCATCGGTACTTGTGGCTTTTGCCAATGAGATCAGAGTTAATTTGTTTGAGGAAGGTGCCTTGTGTGAACTTCAGTGGCGTGCACTGGCACAAGCAAGGGCAGATTTTGCCGAAGAGGATCTTGCTTATTAGGAAAGCTGTGTAAGTGGCAATAGCAATTTTTCAATAGGCTTGCTGAAGCTTGCTGAAGTGTCTGCAGCATTGTAATGGCTGGATTAGATGAGAGTTGAACAGAGCACTCCACCTGTAGTAACGCCAGCACTGCAGGTGCTATATCACCCCTCTGCTGGGGGAAAAAATGGCTCATGTGTCAACAATTCACCTTGACAAGTTCAGGTAATTAAGAAGAGCATGTGATGCCTTTGCAGAAGCTCTCAGCTCATGGGTGTGCCTGAGGATTGGGGCGGCAGGGGCACTTGTCTTCCAGAAACCCCAGATATGTTTATTTTTATGTACACAGACACACACACATCCAGCTAGTCAACAAGAGGTTTAAAGTGATCTCTGAAGCACTTCTGTTGAGAGCGGATGTCAGGCTCACCTTCTGTACTTTTCTAGAGGAATGCCTTCTTGGACCAGCAGGCAGTTCAGATGCATACTCTTAGCTCAGACCTAATGATGATGCTTCTGCAAATGTTACAAGATTTGGAAACCCTAGAAATGCAAAAAAAAAATGACATTAAAAAATGAGTTGTGGTGCCTTTGGGTGATCTGGTGAGCATCCTGCTTTTTTGAGTGGCAGATGGGGCGGTGGCCAAGAATAGAGACCAAAAGTGCTGACAAGGTCCTCAAGAAAACATTAGCAAAATTCCTTTCTTTGGTAAACAAAAACTTAGGGCTACTGTTTTGATTGGTTGAAGGCTGAAAAGAAGGCACAGGTTTTCTATATATAAGGTTACTAGAGGGGGAAAGCAAAAATGCAGAGCTGTTCCTATTTGTTTAGCTATGGAAATCTGCAACTACTTTGAAAGCAGAAGACTAGTGAGCCCTAGAGACATATTGAAAACACTTGCACAATGTCTGATGAAGTAGTATTACCCAATGTGCCTGCCTCAGAGACAGGAAATAATCCAGGTCCA